AGTGTCGGTATAGCGGCCATTGTAGACCTATCTTTAAATCCATTATGACATAAATCGTCATAATCTGTGTGACGTAGGGAAGCACGCACAATGCCATCATTCGTTATTCTGCAGATGAGCGAGGTACCCTCTTCACATATGTAAGGCATATATGTTCACTTCATTGATGCGGTGGCGGAAGACGACATAATTGTGACTGAGCCCTTTGTACTGCGCTGAAATCAATAAACGATCTACTCGTTGCGCAGCTCCAACTGTGTCGCGCCTGGTTATCATTTCACGCTTTTAAAAGGCTATATTTGGTTTTGGGGCGTTGAACCCCTCACATCAATCAATCAAAAGGCTCTATTACGCACGTTAACGTAATTTTCCCAATATCACGATCTACTGCACATGTTAACAGAATTTCCCCGATTTCTTTCACAGCTTTCATAGTGAAAAAAAAACTATCGATTAGCTATTTTCTTGAAAGACACTCAGGTTCAAAGGACAGTTAGAAACAAAGTCAATTTTGACATAAGAGCGATGCAATGAATGCGATAGCAATAAATTTAAACATCACACGAAGAACGCCAAGCAGCTCGGCATTTGCAGCGCATTGCTCAAACACAAAGAAAAACGCAACGAAAGGTACACAGAGGACAAGAGCGAACAAGCAATTGTCACAACGAAGTTTTATTTTCTAGAACTGTTGAACCACTGCTGTGTTTCCTCTCTCCTCGCTTCTAAAAACACTCATACCACGCATCGTTAAGGACATTGCCAACCCAGAAATTTCTCTATTCCCCCCCCCCTTCTTTTTCTTTGCAATTTTTTTGTCTTTTTTTTTCGTCGATTTACCCTAACGTCCAAATACTCCCACCCCGTCTTTCCCCCACTCCCCCTTTTCTTTTCTTTTTCTTTTTTGTGTGCGTTTCTCTCGTCGTTGCTCATTTCCTTTGCATTCTCAATTTCCTTTTTGTCAGCAAACACGCCGCCAAATTCTTGAATTAATTTCGCTGAGCGGGCCACCTACGTGGATATTGAAAGCATATTTTCGCCAACGATCTTCCTCATTAAAGAGAAGCTGAAAGGTTTTTATAATTCAATCAAACTTCGTGTTTAGGAAGGACCGACATTATTGTTGACGATGTCATAATTGTTTTCGCGGTTGTAGCAGCTGGAGCTTTAGAACAAGTAAAATAAAAGCTTGTCTTGCTCCGCCCCCGCGAGCGCTCTGGAAGTGTGGGCGTGGAAACATACGGCATGTTCGTTTCCTCTGCCCCAGAGCAAGTGTTCTTTCTTATCTTCAACCACGGCCCCTGTGACTAACCCAAGACGTGCCGATGCCGGAACTTGTCGAAGAGGCCACACTTCAGCAGTGCTGCAGTTGCAGATGACGTGGCATGCCGAGAATGACGTCACCGTGTTTGCTCGGCGTCTTAAGAAGCCCGGCGGCCACAGCCACTGTTTTTTCACCAGAAAGTGCTATTGGCGTTCACTTTTGAGAACTCTCACATCGCTTTTCCAATTCAGCAGGAATCAAACGGTCCTTACGCGCTCCTAAGTCAATGTTTTTAAAAACGTGCGTCAGCTTCTTCTTAAACACGTGCTCATCAGACCCCATCCGGTATCGCTTACCTTCGACATCTTGGTATTTAAAAGTACGCCACCTGCTTCTTCCCCTGTTTGTAGCTGCTTATTGTGCGTCACATTCTTAGGTGATTGGAAACAGACGTACGCCACTATCGTCGGCCACACTTTGTGGGGGCCGGACGCGGTGACCGACTGCCAGCTTCAAAGTTTCAAGCTATTTTGTTTGTTAGTGTGTGGAGCAGCCACCACTTTGCAGCACACCGCTCCTACTTTGCGTGTTTTTTTTTCTCTTTTCCTCCCCCACCTCCGCTTTCCGAGAAAATTTTCAATCACTACCACCTAGTTTGAAATGAAGCGAGAACTGCACTTCTCTGCTTTGTAGCTTTTTTTTTCTTTTCAGACGGCGATTATCAACAGGGACACGCGCCACCACCAGAAGATGACGTCACTACTAACCTATTTAAAACTAACACGCCAAGGATGACACAGCGCCTTCGAAAAAGATAGGTCCTCCTATCGAAATGTTAGCCAGCCTGTCCTAGGCACTTTACTGTTCACCCTGAGTATCCCTTACTTTGGATTTTACAGCTAGAAGCTCACTTTCGCAAACGCGGCCACTGTAGTGAGTGGAGGAACCTTCGTAAGGTCTACTGGGCGCGAGGCCCATCACTGGTTGCGCGGGCCCTGCAATCGCTGAGATATGCAGGGTTTGATCACGTGGTCTCACCTCGTTCTGGAGAAGGGAAGCGGATGGTTGAATGCGTTGCTTTTTTACAACTATTTCGTGGCGTTTACCCTTTGAACAGCGTTGTCTTGCTCTCACTTCGTGTGTGCTCGCCCTTGGAGGATACATCATCTGGAAAAGTGCAGTAAAAACTATCAATGGCATGGCACTTTTCTTCGGTGTGCCACACTGCGCTACGTACACGAAGGAGTCAGGCAAAATATTCCACTTTTACCCATACCCTCCTTTGCAGGAGCACGATGCTGGTGTCGACTGTATTTTTCTTCTTTTATTTCAATTTCGTGTGGTTAAAATGAAAACCGACCGCGAATGGTCAAGTAAAAGCTCCCGCATGAAAGCCGAAATATGAATGCGCAAATAGTCCGGTCATCTATGTTTTAAAATATGCCGTAGCAATGTACGTACACGTGTGGGAATTACCATCATTACGTCGAACATTGTGCGCTATTGTCTCGACTGCCAGAGACTCAATATAAAGCCGAGAAGACCATTTATTTTTTCTTTCCGCTATCTTTGTCCGACCACTATCTACTTCGCGGTCTGTTGCTGTCTATTTTGTGGTTAGTTGCTCTTGCGTGTTCAACCAGCGCGCTCGATTAAACCTTCTTTTTACATCATACATGTGCTGCTTGAGCCTTCGCCCCGCCACGGTGGTCTAGTGGCTAAGGTACTCGGCTGCTGACCCGCAGGTCGCGGGATCAAATCCCGGCTGTGGTGGCTGCATTTCCGATGGAGGCGGAAATGTTGTAAGCCCGTGTACTCAGATTTGGGTGCACGTTAAAGAACCCCAGGTGGTCTAAATTTCCGGAGCCCTCCACTACGGCGTCTCTCATAATCAAGTAGTGGTTTTGGGACGTTAAACCCCACAAATCAATCAATGCTTGAGCCTTCGCTGAAAGTTACTCGTTTCGCCCAGGTAACATTCGTCATAGTCTACACCCCTTTTTCGCCCCCCTTTCCGAGTCCACATTTTAAGGGTTCTCGTGTGTTTTCCCGATCACGCAGGCTTACTTACGACTATGGACTCATAGGTTTGCTTGAGTACAGTTAAGTCAGTACATTCAGCCCACAGCCAGTGTTACTACCAAGCTACAGGCGAAAACGTGGCCAGATTCAAACCGTGATTCACCTCCTAAACAGCAGCCACAAGTGTCAGCTTATCAATGAAACCGTAAATGCTGAACGCTGGTATTTTCGTTGAAACATAAAACTGCCATTTATATTCGCGGTAAGCCACACCTTACAGCACGCTCGTTCAAGTGCGCAGCGGGCTGGAGAACGTGGGTCACCACGCCCTGCATGTCGCAGTACAAGTGAAAGGCGCGCATCCCAACTCTCGCAAAGCCCGAGTGGGGCAACGACTTTTATAGCGCGCTATCTCGTGGGTGATAGTGAACACGATGAAGCTCTTCTGATTTCTGCGTCCTGCCAGCGGTAAATGGTGTAGATAAAGATCTCGCGATTAGTGTGCTAGGGTACGTGTGCGGTCAGGTGGAGTTCTTTAACGCAGCGCGTTAGCGCGGCTTTTATACACACAAAAATTAAAATCCCAACGGTTACGGCAAAAACACGCAAAAAAGTGACCATATAATTGCTATGGCAATGAAAAAGGCAGCTGGAAGTAAGAAACCAGCAACATCTTGTAACTCGCTGCGCTACCAATCACAAGGTACTTACGGTTACAAAGTACGTTCTGAAGGTTATATGGTTACAGCCGCAAAGCATTTTGCGGCTGTAACCATTCGCATTTTGGTTACAACCGCAAGGACGCTGTTTAATTCAGGCTATCATATAGTTTTATAGTATACGTAGTTGTTCTGCGTATGTGGCATGACTGAAAGGGGAGGAGGAGGGAATATTAATATGAATCGCGTGTACTTGTTTGACTGCTCCTGTAAAGCGTGCTCTCACTGTTAGGCAAAAATGCATATAGCAGAAGCCAACAGTAAGCAAAAAACAACAGTGGGGGGTGTGCGTGCATGTGTGCGTGCGTGCGTGCATGTGTGTGCGTGTGCGCGTGCGTGTGTGTGTGTGTGTGTGTGTGTGTGTGTGTGTGTGTGTGTGTGTGTGTGTGTGTGTGTGTACGTGCGTGTGTGTGTGTGTGTGTGTGTGTGTGTGTGTGTGTGTGTGGTGTGTGTGTGTGTGTGTGTGTGTGTGTGTGTGTGTGTGTGTGTGTGTGTGTGTGGTGTGTGTGTGTGTGTGTGTGTGTGTGTGTGTGTGTGTGTGTGTGTGTGTGTGTGTGTGTTTGCGTGAGCAAATGGATTTGTTATAGTCAATAAACTGCCTTCATTAACAACGTTTGTGTTCTCCTGTAAATTACGCTGTTTTTGCAAGGCAGAAGTGAATATAGAAGAAGCTCACAATGGGAAAAACAACTGTGCGCTCGTGCGTGTCATGTAAAAGTGGACTGCTACCAACTCGCAAAAGTCATCGTGACGTAAACTCGACCTCACATGTCGCGTTCATTTCATATAAATCATGACGCCACGTGTCTGTTTATTAGCATCAAATCGATTAGCTGCTTGATTTTATTCGGTCGATTTCTTGTCACAAGGTAATGTTGCAGGAGGCGTAGAATAAAAGCCACTTGAAGGTGTATAGATGATATCTTTGCCGTTGCAAGTTTGTGTCATCTACTTTAACTACAACATCATTCCCTCTTTCTCTCTGTTCTGTTCAGGGGGGTGGCCACTGTAAATATTGCGTTGAACACGATGGACATCAACCAGTGCTCCGACGACGATTTTTTCTTCGCCAAAAGTCATCGGTGTGATCCACAAAGTGCCGAGGTAAGACCCGTCTTCATATATTACGCTACGTTCTTTGAAAAGTGAGAAACTTCAACACAGGCAGTTGAAGGATCGAGGTGCATTGCTAAATGTATTTTATGAGGTGTAGATATTAAAAAATGCGTGAACACTGGGTCTCATGGGTGTCAACGTTTCGACAGTCGGACCTTTCTTCAAGGAAGCAACAGCTTATGTCAGCGCGGGTAAGGTCTTAAATTAAGGCAAGTTCGTTTGAGAAAACGTGAACACCAACAACATCCCTCTATCACAAGTCTTTAATTTCGTCAAGCTTCCATACTTGATAGATGGGTATGTAAGGTCTAACATCCGAAAACCACCATATGATTACGATAGACGCCGTAGTGGAGAACTCCGGAAATTTGGACCACCAGGGGTTCTTTAACGTGCTCCGAAATCTGAGCACATGGGCCTACATCATTTTCGCCTCCACCGAAAATGCAGCCGCCGCAGCCGGGATTTAATCCCGCGACATGTGAAAGCTTCTATACTTCTCCGAAGTGTCTTTATGTAGGGCAATTAAAGATCGCGAAATACGGCATGCGAGATGTTCATTTTGGACGCAGCGCGTACAAAATAGTTTGTTCTGAATATTTCCGTTGGCATAAAAAAACTAAATGTGTGCATTCTTACGTTGGCAATACATAAATATAGGAACGAACATTCTATGTAAACTCTGAACGACAAGACGCAGAAAAGTATTTCCGGGCAAAAGACTCGCTGCGTGCGCATTCATTTTCAGACAAACACTCGTTTGCAAACGCAGCTCTATCCAATGTCCCAATGTCCGTCCCTTCGATAGTCTTCGATGGCGGACAACGAGCGAGGCAATGCCCAATTCGTGCCAAGAAGACATTAGAGGTATTGAGTTGGTTCAGAGAGGAGGATGGGAGTGGAAGGGGTAGGCGTACGTCCGAACAACGTTTGCGCTCGAATCAAGCTTCCAGATGCCCCAACGCTGCTAGCAGAGCGCATATTTCAGGCACGAGAAGACTGACTCTGGCACATTCTTGCTCCGGCAGCTAATCCTTCAGGAGGAAGACAGGGTGGAGCATTACGTGCACGCAGAGGCTGGTGCGTGTCTGGGGCCTATCCCGAGGAGTTGCATGCCTACTCGCTTCTGGCGCACGCCGTTATTTCTCCCCGAGAAAGATGGTGACGAAGAAAAACTAAGGGGAAAGCTATGAAACACTGAAAGCGAACGATAACGACGAGCGAGCGACCAACCTCACGCCACCTTCGGTGAATTGAGGAATGGCTCATCCATGGCGCAGCGTTTTCGTCAGAGTGCGAGATTAGAAATGAGTTCATTTCATGGTGCTAGAGGTATTTAAAAAAAGCAAGGTCGGGGCGGAGCGCACAGCACAGTCACAGCAAAAGATTGAAGAGCGGCCTTAAAAAGCCTCTTTTCAATCACTCTTTGGGTAACTGCTACAAGTACAATTTCCGGGTACCCACAACGCCATACATAATCATATTCTTTGTTTAGTTGGCCGGCATTCACTATGCTATCCTTTTTTCAATGTTCGGAAAACTGTGGTATCCGCTACACACTTATTATGCCTGAATAATTATGCCTAGAGAGGGTATGCGCCACAGTTGATGAGTGATCAAGAACAAGCTTTTGTAACGGGTTGGAGCATCGAAGGACCCACTTGTTACGCAATTCGCAATGTGTGACGCCTGGTTGTTCCTTTGATGTCCTAAAACGCTTAATTACTCATATGAACACTTTGCCGGCATCAAGTCTGCCTAAGGCCAGTTTAGAAGCGAGTTCAAAGCACTGGCGTGGCTCAGTCGTAGAATACTGGGGTGGCACGCAGGGCATTCGGATTCAAATCTCATTGTGTCCTTGGTGTTGTTTTTTCCAGTTTTTTTTTTCGTGTGATAGTAGTTACGGACACCGGCGGTGGTGGCGGCTGACAACTATGGCGCCGAACTTGAACCATGTTGTGCTCTCATAACAGCTTTCGCCGTAAAAATATTGCAAGAAAAGGCGGAAAAAAGCTATTGATTACATGTACTCGGCCGATTTGAACGACTTGATATTGGGGAACAATCAGAGAAATGACGAAAAATAATTTGTTTTCTCCCGTTGTGGGGAAGTAGCTAACTTAGAGCATATGCTCATGCGATGCCACTTGTTACTGGGCAGCGATCAAGCCAACCCGGCCAAGTGGTGCTCCGCCATTGGAAGCCCCTACAAGGGGGATCAACTTTGGGCCATCCAAAGAGCCCACGATGCGGCGGTTAGGCTGTTACATTTGGCCATGCAGTTTGTCGTGGCAGTCACCATTGAGCGTGAACTTGTCTGCAAGAATGCTTTCACCCCGATATGGACGCTTGGCCAGAATCATGAAGCACGACGTTATCCTGAAGGGGGGGGGGGGGGGCAGCAATTCGCTGCGGTCGGGTTACAAGGAATCCGACGGAGGGGTCGCGGACAATCCTTTATTGAGCGGGGTTAAACATCGTGAGACAGCGTCGCTATTGCAATTTCCATGGAGTCAAGATCTCAGCACAGCCATTGTCGCTTACACGTGGTCGTGACAAAGCACCAACTGTTCGTCAGCGAGAAACAGCGTCGCTGTAGCAGTTCTCACGAATCCAGCGCCTGAGCGTAGCCACGAACCGCTGATGACGTTCGTGTCAGCGGCCATCTTCTCCACAGAAGTGCTCGGCATCCCCCTCCTCCTGCCCCGCCGCGGTGGTCTAGTGGCTAAGGTACTCGGCTGCTGACCCGCAGGGCGTGGGTTCGAATCCCGGCTGCGGCGGCTGCATTTCCGATGGAGGCTGAAATGTTGTAGGCCCGTGTGCTCAGATTTCGGTGCACGTTAAAGAACCCCAGGTGGTCTAAATTTCCGGAGCCCTCCACTACGGCGTCTCTCATAATCATATAGTGGTTTTGGGACGTTAAACCCCACATATCAATCAATCAATTCCCCCTCCTCCGAACTCCAGCTCCTCGCCTACGCTTCGGAACAGTCTTCAAGGCGTGGGCCGGGTACAGCTTTGTGTGGTACCCTCGTGCCACCCATTAGACCCTCTCGCCCACGTTCCTTATCAAAGGAGTGACCCAATTTCTGCTCCATTTCTTGGGGGTGGACCACTGAGACATCAAGTAAGCAAAGCGGAGAGGCGAGCGAGCTGGAAGTCATTCATTATGGCGTAAACATAGCGCAAAAAATACGAGGACAAAAAAGCATTTGTGGTGTTCGCTTTCCTGTCCTTCATCTTTTATTTTGCCATATTTACCTTTAATGAGACTTCAAGTCACTTGATTTGCGGCAGCAGTGGTCACCGCCTCTTCAGACCTCCGTGTTGGAAAAACAACGGGCCATAAAAATCGAAGAAGTTTGTACGAAATGGCTGAACAGTTTTTTTTCATCATTCGTGTAAATAAACTTACATTCCGTCCCTTTGAACGCGTCTCCTTACTAGCGAACATCGGCTATGTGGACGACGGCGAGGAGCCTAAAGAGGTTCGCTGTGCCCCATCTCCTACAAGGCATGGCAGCGGTGAGATGCCATCAACCTTGAGTCCTTCTTATGGTTAGCCCGGCTGCCCCAATGTGGAAGAAAGCCACTGTGCGCTTGCCGCGTTTCTCAGGACTACAAATAAAGTTCTTCCATCCACCCATCCTCAGATCAAAAAAGCGCTAATAGACCTTGGAGCGTCTTTTTTTTTTTTGGTTTTCAACAAGAAATAGCATTGGTTACCTTCTGATCTTATTCGTTTCTTTCTGTGCGAATTTTATTATCACACTTCTTTAAGGATTGTTTTAAGTGTAACATTTCCCCCACACACTTGCCAGTAACTGGGAATGATGTTCAAGACTTAGCGAAGGTTGATGATGTCACCGGAACAATTATCGCAACAATTTAGCGTGTAGGGTGGGTCCTTGCTGCTACGCAGAAACATCGCCCACCCTACCTCACAAGCTTCAATATTTGCTGAAACCAGGAATGCACTAGCTTTATTATTATTATTATTATTATTATTATTATTATTATTATTATTATTATTATTATTATTATTATTATTATTATTATTATTATTATTATTATTATTATTAGCAATGCATAACTCAGAGATACTACGGAAGTGTATCTTCCTGGACAGGTTAAACCGGTGATTTACGTAGACAGCAGCATGAGCTGATCAGTATAACTCCGAAACAAATTTTTCGAAGAAAGTCTTGAATGTGTAAAACAGTGTGCGCACACCACCAATCTGTTTCACGACTGAGACGTTTTAAATTCGTACAAAAACAAGTGATGCCCTACAGTTCTCACTAGCAAGATGAGATGAAATGTGAACTGTCGTTAACTGCGAATTTCGCATTTTCATCCCTTTGTTTCGAGGCTTGAATATGATGTCACACCGATGGCCACAACTCTCTGTTCGTGACCAGAGTCCGGTTAGATGACAAAGCTTTCTCAGTCTGTGTTGCTGTTTGAGGGCAAAAAAAATTGTAGTCGGCAATAACGAAGCAATTTGCCGCGCGTACAAAGCTCAGACACGATCTCGTGACATAAACTCTCGTGCGACTTTTACATCGAAACAACCCCCTGAGCTCACAAGACAAGCAGTCATGTTTGTAGTGCCACCCAGCGATGCTTCTCACAAAGGGATGCCTGGTTACGGTCCCCAAACGCACGCACACTTTTCTAAAGGCCAAGCGTCATTGGTGCCACCGTACACAAACGGAGTTCGGCAGACTTTAGAGCCCCAACAATGGGCCGTAAAAGCTGAGTGCTTGGAAACCCGGCTGAAATTTTGAAAAGCGTTTACGGTAAAGAATTCGCCTTTCTTCGCGCAAAATAGCCGGTGCCATAAATTGCTCATGTTGCTCGGAACAGAATAGTGCGTAGGTCAAGAGTTACAGTGCCGATAAAAGCTAGAAACCTTACTGGGTGTAGATGTATATAATACATCGCTGCCGTCATCGGTGCTGTCGCCATATGGGCGATACCGTGAA